TATTGTGAACAGAGGTGAAACTCTCAATGATCTTCAAATTTCACATGACTTTCAAAGCTCCTCCTACTAGAGTTCTGTGTGCTTTTCTAGTTACTCTTTTCTGAACCCACCCTGTCCTCTCACTACATTACTTGCAGTTCCCTGTGGTGCTGTGCCTTTTCCTCTCTGTGCCCTTCTTTCCACACTCTGCTCCCCCGCTGGGGTGTCCTGCACTGACCTGGCTGAACTATGGGAATCCTCACTTGACTCCTCATGGATATGAAGGACCCAGTGCCATTTATCTTGGTTAACTGTGCTGGATATGTAATAGCTACTGCTTATTGCTAAAGAAACAGTAAATGATCAGAATATGACAACCCAAAAGGTCTTCAGGAAATTTGTGAAGATTAAATGAGATAATAAGAAGCAAATGTATTGAAGTACTAGGTAAAAAATACTATTTTGAAAGCATTATCTCATGACTTTCATGACATTTCAGACAGGTTATTATTATTATCATCTCCGTTTTACAAAAAAGGAAAAACAGAAAGGGTAGGAGCTAATTAACACATGCATATAAAAGAATACTGCAAGTCCTTTACAAATGTACATTTTAAGATTTGCGTGGTAGTTGCACAAATAATCAATAGTTATAATTATCACTTCACTTTAAAAGATTTTACAGAATACATTTAGAACCCCATAGACCGGGAGAAGTACTGTTTAACTTAAATTATATTCCAACAGACCTTTTTGGGTGCCTATTGTAGTGGATATCTGTGCTTTTTTCCCTCACTTCCCCTTTGATATGATGACCCTACCACTTTTTGGGGGGACCACCTTTCCCTCGCTCTAAGTTATTTGGTTAGGGTAAAATCAACTCTTACCATTCTCTAGTTTCCTCAAGTGCACAGGTGACTCACACCGGAATAGTCATCATATTTCAACTCATTGGCCATCGACAGTGTGAACCAGGGATGGGCTCATGATCCACGTAAGTCAATAACTGAGACTGGGTTCAGTAGTTATTACCACATTGGTTGATTGTTTAAGATCATCAGAGTGGAAGAGTGAGAAGGAAAGACAAATGGGGAAGAAGTGAACTGGGAGACAGTGGGGTCCTTAAAATCACTGTAGAGTTTCAATCAGTGTTGTGTTGATATTATGAAATTAATACTTGGATAAGGTTTATGTTTTTAAAACTAATAACTAAAATACTTGGCAAAATATTTTAAGTAACTACAGTTTCAGCCATGATTGACTATTCTCAGCAGGAATTGTATCTGTGTAAATGGGCATATTATTGATTTTTTTTAAAGGATAGGTGATTTCATTATTTTCTCTTTTAAATCAAAGGTTTCCTTTAGTGATTTTTTTCCTCACTCAAGACAATACCGAACTAGTAAGGGTGTGAGTCTGTTTTGCTCTAGTCAATCCTATCTTCTTGCTGTAGAGATCTTTTTCAATGTGGTAATAATTGCCTGTTTGGTGGTGATTTATTTTTACTTACCTACTCACTCAACAACACTTTGTCTTGTGTCAGAGGGCATGAGATTCAAAGGTGTCCCAGAGCCTAGAACATAAATTCCGTGGAATCTCCTGACTCAGAGCCTGGTATCTAGCAGAGGTTCCATATTATCAGGAATTTGTGCACTCAGATAGACGTGGAGTGCATTTCTGTGTTAATCTGACAACGGTAGCTTCCAAGGAGCCATGTTTGGCCTTCAAGTATTGCCTGTGGATTGAAGGCTTGGGTTTCTAATTCTTTTCTTTATGGAAGTTATTTCTCATAATGCGTAGGTTTAATAATACTTATTTTAGTAGTTCACAATGAAATAATTAATTAGATTTAGTTTTGAATACTGACACTGGAATGACCCTGATTCCACAGTAGACAATTATTTTGGTTCCTATTAGTTTGCTAACTTAGTGGGTTGAGTGGTGGCTTCCCTCCAAAATATGTCCACATCCCAAACCCGAGAACCTGTTAATTGGACTGTAATCCACCCCTCTATTTTTTTAGTATTGTTTCCTGTAATAACAATAATCAGGGTCTGGTAGCCCGACACCACCCTCTAGGCAGAATTCCAGAGGCAAAGGTTTTGTGATAAAGAAAAGGAGTCTTTATTCAAAAGCTTCACAATTTTGGAATAACAGCTTTCCACAAGAATTAGTGACTTAAGCCTATGGATTAAGGTGAAAATCTTTAACTTTTTAGTTACAGCTTTAATCATTTAAATGTATCAATTAAGGCTAAACTCTAACACCTGAGTTTTCTTATTGTTTCCACCTGTCAGTTTTAACTATCTTATTTCTATAGTGTTAGTTTATAAACTAAAACAACATAAGATATAAAAACTACACAATTTTTGAAGAATGGCAGGATTCTGCCTCCGAGGTCATCCCCTCTAGAACACCCAAAGAAAAATAATCCTGCTACCCTCTGCCAGGCCAGCTGGACTCTAGGCTGTGCCCAGATTTTCTTCCCATCCAAAATACTGTCTGATGGGAAACACAGGCAGCTGCGGCACGATCATCCAGACATTCTTGAGGAAGAAGAGAGCCCGAGAGCCAGAGAAAGCCTGTGCCTGCCTATCTGAGCGCCCTTCATGTCAAATCTCACCCATAATTCCCTGTGCTTTGGAGGCATTCAACTCTCAGCCAGTCCTGACCTACACTATTTACCATTGCCTCAGGCAAACTCCTCCTACGGCGGCACCCTACTCCTTCCCAGTGATATGATCAGATCTCTTTGTATCAATATTGTTTCTGTTAAAAGTGTTTTTGTAAAAGATGACTTGTTAACTACTCATATTTTGCCACATATAATGTGCACTTTTTGTCCAAATTTATGAGGGAAAAATAAGGATGCATGTTATACATGGGTATAATGATTACATGCATAGATATAATAATGGGTATAATAATCCCATGTATAATGCACACAAAAATGTGAGTGCACATCATACATGGCAAAATATGGTAATATGTAGCCTATGGGTAAGCAGAATGGACTGTGTTGTCTTACATGTAGAGAACTTTCAACCACCTACCCTCTGATTTCCTTGTTCTGCTTTCCATCTCCCTCCTAATAAAGCCCCTTACTGCACTGAGATGTTAAGATGGTCTTTGGGATGGAGGTCTGCCATATTCTCAGGCTGCTGGTGCTTGAATAAACCATCTTTCCTTGCACCACACCTGTCTCTTGAATATTGGCTTTTGAAATGGCAGGCAGCCAAACCTGAGTTCAGTATGAGAAACTTACTTGGAAAAAAAGAAAAGGTCGTTGCAGATGTAATTAAGTAAGAATCTTGAGTTGAGATCATCCTGGATTATCTGGATGGTCCCAAATCCTTCTCTTCTGTAAGGACAAGTGTACTTACAGAAGAGAAGACAGACACAGAGGCGAAGGCCATGTGAAGATGGAATCAGAGATTGTAGTGATGCAACCTCGAGTCCGTGCGTTCCTGGAACTGACAGGAGCTGGGTGACGCAAGGGAGGATTCTCCCATAGGGTCTCGGGACGGAATGCAGACCTGACGACACTTTGGCTTTGGACTTCTGGCCTCCAGATCAGTGTGAGAATAAATTAAGGTTGTGGTCATTTCTTAAGGCAGGCCCAGGAAACTAATATGCTATTTTATACCAATTATCTAAGTAAGGATTCTGCTGTGTTTTACTTCATAATAATCTTGGAAGGTTAGTGTTTCTACTCAAATTCTTGTCTCCACCCAATGGAGACATTATCTGTTCTGTGAGGTTTGATGAAAACCAAAAGGTGAGTGCTTCTGGGTCATTTTTACCTCCCATAGATGCCCCAGAAAGTCCATTCAGTGCACAAATATGAAATTTCTGAGTCAAGTAGCCTCAACAAGTGGTCTGAAGAGTCAAACTTTCTTTAAGAAAAGTGGCGCTTGTCCTGGCACGATATTTCTATGGGAGAAAAGTTCCACTTACAATGTCCCACAAGTCAGCAAAGTAACTGGGTCAGGGAGCTGGGATACCTTGCTTATGGCCCCGTCTATCTCTGGGCTACTTTGTCTCTGATGCCTCTTCCTATGAGGGTGTTAGGCAAGTTCGTTTCTAGGAACCTTTTGAAATGAACTATTCACCGAGCCTAGAGTATGTCTGTCCCCTGTATTCATTCTTCCTCACCCTATTGGTTTCCTGAGTATCACACATCATAATTGGTGGTTATATGAATACTTGCTTCTCTGTCTGCCACAACTACAAGTTCAAAGAACATAAAAACTCACTTAGCATGTTGTCTGATACATAGTATGTCCTCAATAAAAATGCATTAATGAATAAACAAATCCATGGGTGAATGTTCGGAGCAGAGAGCAAGAAAATGTCTATGAGCTACTTTGGGGTTGAAATCAGATTGTTCAAGGACGCTTTTTTTTTTTTTTTTTATCCCTACGTCAAAAGCCATTGGATTTCAAGATTGAGAGATAAGTGGTCATTTAGTTTAACTCCCCACTTGATGCACAAGTGCCCTTTTCAACCTTCCGTACCAGCATGACCAAAGGGTTGGCTGAAACGTCCGTGGTTACAGAAAACTCACTATCTCACAACTTCTGGGCTTTTCCATTGGCTTTCTTTCCCTACTCTTCCCAATCCCTGCGATCTTTTTGGTAGCATTTTCCACACCTAATGGAGCAGAGGCCTGGAAGTCTGGAGGTGGGATGAACAGGGGGACTCCCAGAGTCTGGGAACCAGCGGCTTCAGGAGGGCGCGCTGTGGCTGACTGCGGGATGCAGTAGTGGCGCCACCTTCCTGCTGGGTTCGTCTCCGGGCACGCAGGGGGTCCTCCTTCCCAAGCTCCGGTTCTCCTCTACTAGGCCCTCGGCCGCAAGCCGAGGAATTACCTGCAGCCGCCAGGGGTCCGCTTTTTCCGCCAGGGAGTGGACGCGGAGAGGCGGGCGTTGGCAGTCACCCGCCTCTCCCTCCCTTCTCCCCGCCCCGTCCACGCCCCCATTTCCTTCGCCCCTCCTTCCCAAACACCGCTCTGCTCGGTCAGGAGTTGCTCCTGCTGCGAGGAGTTTCCAGCCGCCCCACAGCAGAGTCTTCGCTGGCCCGCTGAGCGTGAGCCAGGCAAAGGGCCAGAGCCCGGGCGCCGTCTCCGTCTCTGCTGTCCGTTTGGGTTGGACCCTGGCATCCAGGTGGGACCCGCTTCTCTCTACTCCATTCCCCTACGGCCACCTCTTTCCGCCCAGGGCAACTCCAGGAGCCGGGCTCTGGGGCGCGCGCGCCCGGCGCGCAACCCGTGGACTACGTGGGGACCGTGAGTTCGGGGCAGCCCAGCGGTGCCGCCAGAGACGCCAGCGGCCGGGGGCGCTTGGAGGGGCCCCGGAGAGCTCTCGGCTTCCCGGTGCTGGGGAACGGGAGGCCCCGGAGGGGAGGGGAATCACGGCTCGAGGCTGAGGGCAGGCAGCGGAACCTGGGCGCACCTGGGGGAGGCTCAGGAAGGATTTGCCAACTGGCCAACTTCTTTTCCAGGTCTCCTTCTTACTTTGGAAACTGAAGGGGCTGCGCCATAAACCAGTAAGCCATGGGGCCTGGAGGAAGGTTTTCTTGGTTTGGATGACAAAACAAAAAAATTGTGTTTAGACCTGACCCTGTTTTCCACCTTCCCTTGCTGTCCTCAAGCAAATGAAAAAACAAGATAACAGGAAGCAACCCCAACCGAAGCACTCATTTATAAGGCATTCATAGAGGTGTGAAAGAGAGACCCAAGTGGGGATTCACTTTTGAAGTGTCAGGTGCGATGAGGCTGGCTAAGAAATTGATTATTCTGGGCACTATTTCTAGGACTGTGTTTGTAAATAGAGGGTGACCCTGGCTCTTGTATACCTGAGGGAGTTCTTCATATTGAGGGTTCCTCGGAGTGTCCTCTGTTACCATTATTTACATAAGTGTCGAAGTATAGCGAAACAAATGCTCTTTTAGAGCATTGGAGTTGGAGTCACAATTTTGGTATGATTTGCCATTTATCTGGGACACTGGTTAACTTCTCAGATAAGTTTCCTCATCTGTCAAATTAGAGGGTTGGATTAAGATTCTACTGGCCTTTTTTTAATTTAAATTTTATTTTTAAAATATATTTTATTAATTATGCCATTACAGTTGTTCTATTCCCCCCTTCATTCCCTTCCACCCTGCACACCCCCCCCCCCCACCATTCCCCCCTTTAGTTTATGACCACGTGTCTCAAGTTCTGTAGATTCCATTTTCCCATACTATTCTTGCCCTCCCCCTATCTATTTTCTACCTACCGTCTATGCTACTTATTTTCTGTACCTTCTCTCCCCTTCTCCTACTCCCCTGTTGCTAACCCTCCATGTGATCTTCATTTCTATGGTTCTGCTCCTGATTTAGCTGTCCTCTTAGTTTGCTTTTGTTTTAGGTGTGGTTCTTAATAACTGTGAGTTTGCTGTCCTTTCACTGTTCATCTTTTTTCTCTTCTTTTTCTTAGGTAAGTCCCTTTAACATTTCATATAATAAGGGCTTGGTGATGATGAACTCCTTGAATTTGATCTTATCTGAGAAGCACTTTATCTGCCCTTCCATTCTAAATGAAAGCTTTGCTGGATAGATCAATCTTGGATGTAGGTCCTTGCCTTTAATGACTTGGAATACTTCTTTCCAGCCCCTTCTTGCCTGTAAGGTCTCTTCTGAGAAATCCGCTGATAGTCTGATAGGAACTCCTTTGTAGGTGACTGTACCCTTATCTCTTGCTGTTTCTAGAATTCTGTCCTTCATTTTAATCTTGGCTAATGTAATGATGACGTGCCTTGGTGTGTTCCTTCTTGGGTCCAACTTCTTTGGGACTCTCTGAGCTTCCTGGATTTCCTGGAAGTCTGTTTCCTTTGCCAGAGTGGGGAAGTTCTCCTTTATTATTTGTTCAAATAAGTTTTCCACTGGTGGCTGTTCCTCTTCTTCTTCTGGTACCCCTATAATTCGGATGCTGGAGCATTTAAAGATGTCCTGGAGGTTCCTAAGCCTCTCCTCATTTTTTTGAATTCTTGTTTCTTCATCCTTTTCTGTTTGGTCATTTTTTTCCCTCCTTCTGGTCCACTCCTTTGATTTGAATCCCAGTTTCTTTTCTATTACTATTGGTTTCCTGTGCATTTCCCTTCATTTCAATTAGTTTAGCTTCCATATGTTCCTCTGATTTGTGACTAAAATCAACCAGTTCTGTGAGCATCCAGATCACCAGTGTTTTGAACTGTGCATCTGAAAGTTTGGCTATTTCTTCAGTGCTTAGATTTATCACCTCTGGGGCTCTGAGTTGTTCTTGAGCCATGTTTTGATCTGTTCATGCCTATTATGTATGAGGAGCAGAGTGTTAGTTGTTCACCAGGGCGGGGCCGCCCAGGTTGCTGGTTTGTGACGCTGTATGTGGGGGCGGGGTCAGAGAGGGACAATGGCGGTTCCCTCTGCCGCTTTCCACCTCTGGGGCCTGTGAGGTTCGTCTCATCACCGCTAGCTCCTTCACTGGTTTATCTGCACGAGAATGTGTGACCACGGTTCACCCTCAGTGGGTCTGCCTGCTTCTCCACACCTGGGATCCGCGCACAGCTGCTGGTGCACCTGGGTCTTGCACCTGGGGTTGGTCCAGTGGCTCTTTCCTGCCTGACCCGCTCTGCTGCTGGCTCTACCCCTCTTACCAGTTTGGCTGAAGGGTTGGTTGTTGTCAGACTTCCGTGTAGTTCAATTTTCTGTAGTTTGGCTGCGTTTTTGTTGCTCAAACTTTGTTGTTTTTAAACTTGGTTGTGTGAGAAGGCGAAGTGCTTCCACCTACACCTCTATCTTGGCCGAAGTCCTTCCACTGGCCTTTTAATAATATCTAAGGCATTTCCCAATTTAAAAATTATAATTCTTGAATTAACATGTTAGATTCTTTATTTCATGACAATGCTCTTAGCATTTTTGTTTATATGCATTTATGATTTATATCTTTAGGATTTTTCAAACAAAAATAGAAGACAAAGATACTTGTAGAGGGGTTCAGAAATATATAGTTTATATGCAAATACTTAGCTCATCTCTCATGCTGCCTTAAAGAATCATGTTACCAAAAAGAGTCATGAGTTCAGTGGTAAGTCAGTATTTACAACGCCAAAACAAAATGTGTGACTTCAGCATAGTACTCATTCTCTTCCAGTATTTTACATTTGGAATACATAAAAATGGTTCTGGAGGAAAACACAAATTTTACCTCCTGTCAATTACTGATCCTAAACAGTGCTTGTTACTTTTTAGCATAAAGTTGTGTGCAGAATATTAAAAAAATGGTTTCAGCCCACTTCAGAGCCTCTCTGAAATTAAGCTCAGGAGCAGAGATGCCAATTTTAGTAATGCATTTTAGTTGCCTTGGAATTAATCCCAGAAAATAGCAGAGGTTAACTAAACCTACAAACCAGAAATTAGGAATTTCCACACACACACAAAGTTATACAAGAGTGAAAAAAAGAAACAACAACAAACCACTACTGGTGTAAGCAGACAGAGAATGTTGGAATGGCTTTGGTTGTCACTTGTATTTCAAAACTACTTAAGACTTAGTCATCTGTCTTCAGGATGGGGTGAGGAGTGGTCTGGTTCTTTCTGGTGGTTTTGAGCTAAAGTAATGTGTTTCCACCAGCATGTGTGTTGTATGTGGTTTGGGAGAGTGGAATGGATTTGAAGTACTCTTTCATGAACACATTTGAACTTAATTTCAGTGCCTTTTTGCTTTTGGGCTGGAGGTGTCAGCAATCAATCATTTAGCCATTTGTCTTTCCTTATATCCTCTGGTGAAGTAGATAATCATCTCCTTTGAAACAGATGCTCAAGGAACTCAGCAAATTATGGAATGAATGCAGGGTAGTAAAACCCTGCTTTCTTGTTGCTTGTTGGAAGACATCAGGAAACAGTGGATAAATCTGACTGTTCATGGTCTATAGTTGACTCATTCATAGCTTAGAGTCATCATTATGGTTGGCAGAAGCTCTATTCCACTTTTGTAATATAGGGATTTGACTCTCATGAATTTACCAAGAAACAAATCATGTCTTCACCCTTAGATCACTATTATATAACCAAATGGTTTGTGTCTGCAGTGCAATATCTTGGAAATAAAACGAAAATATCCAGAAAGAAATGAATTGTCTTGGCAGTGACTTACTCTACCGCACTTTTTCATACTCAGAGCCCAAAACACAATACCGTCAAAAATGAAGACAATGGCTTATAGTCTGCTTTAGTTCTTAAGATTTTATGTGATTCACAAATTCTACTTTTAATTAAATCAGAAAGGCACAGATGTTCACCTACTGGCCAAACCTGGTACATATAAGTTTTTGAAGTTTCAATTTAAATTTTGTCTGCTTATAATTTGAAATATTCCTTTACAAATACTTTTTAAAACTTTGTGACAATTGTGATATTATCTGTTGTCTTTTCATACACATGATCTTACTAATTAAATTTTTTAACACTGAACCATAACATTTATAGGGAAAAGTCATAAAATAAATGTACTCATTGACAAGTAATATTATGGATAATTATAAGGCAAATACCCCAGTGTTCACTATGTAAGAAAGAGAGCATTTGCTAATAATACTCCGAAACCTCTTGCTTATTTCTTCCTGATCACAAGGTTTTTAAAAACATTTTATGTGACTGTGGGAGGCATTCTTTCATAGATTCTTTTGCTTAACATTATGTTTGTGAGATTAATCCATTTCTTTGTTCCCCTTTAAAGAAAAAAATTTTAAGTTGTTTATATTCTTTCTCTCTAATTGATCTTTTCAGTTTCTCTTCAACTCATTCTTACCAGTCTTTTGTTTTCAATACTCAGCCAAAACTACTCTTATCAAAGTCACCAGTATCACCATCTTTCCTAAATCTGATAGTCAGTCATCGGTGTTGATCTTACTTTGCCCACTGGTAGTATTGTCACAGTTGAAATATTTCCTTGTTGACTTCCGGACACTATGCACACTGGATGCCCTCCCTCACTGGCTACTCTTTTCTGTCTCCTTTGTTGGTTTGTCTTCTTCTCTTCGAGGTTTTGAGCTTAGAATGCCTTAAGACTTAGTTCTTGGAGCGATTTTCTCTCTATACCCTTTGATGATTTCATGCAATCTTTATTTTTCCTCTAGTTTCTATATTTTTATGCTGATGACTCCAAAACAATAGCTCAGTCCTTGACTTCTTTCCTGTATAATGCATATCTCTCCATCCATCTGCCTACTTGGCATTTCCATTAGGATGCTAGTAGACACCTCTAGTTCAACATACTCCAAATGGAGTCTTCATCTTGCCCAGCTCTCTTTATCTGCATGCTTTCCCATCTCCTTCAAATTGCTTAGGCCCACAGTCTTAGAATCATTTTTGATTTCTACCATTCCCTTATACCTTAGTACCTCAGTTATGAAGTGTCAGAAGATCTTTTTTTGCTCTATCCTCAAAATAAATCCAGAACATAATTACATCTCATCTCCTTCAGGGCTGTTATCCTGGTCTGAGCTTCCATCATATCTCACATGGAGTAT